GGACGGGAGTGAGGCAAGGCTGTCTACTATCGCCAATGATATTCCTGATTTCCGGCTGTAGATTGGATAATGAGACAGACAACGGGCAATGAGGAAACAGGCATAAAATGAACTCACTTTTACAAAAAACTTGGAGGATCTGGACTTCGCCGATGATATATGTCTGATTTCCCACTAACTGGAAGATATGCAAGTGAAAAGCAACAAGCTGGCGGTAGAAGCATCCAGAGAAGATAGAACTTCAGGTGAACATAGAGAAAACAGAGGTGATGAAGATTCCTGGCCAACACCAACAGCAACAACAACAGACAACAATCAGCATAAATGGGAGGAACCTGAAAGAAACAACTTCCTTCACCTACCTGGGAAGCATCGTTTCAACTACAGGCAGACGGAACTGACGAGGATATCAAAGCCAGAATCGGAAAAGCAAGACAAGCTTGCATTACTCTCAAGTCTGTGTGGAGGTCAACATCACTCAGCATCAAAACGAGTATAAGATCCGGATTTTCAACTCCAATGTGAAGTCAGTCAGTGCTACTTGTTATACGGATCAGAGACTTGGCCAGCGCGTCCTAAAGAGCATCTCAAACAAACTTCAGACCTTCATTAACAGTTGTCTTCGCTCAATGCTGAAGATCAGATGGCCAGAAAGGATCAGGAACAGGGATCTCTGGCAATGAGCAAACCAACCTAGCAGGAACCGATTGTGCAACAAATATGCAGGAAGAGATGGAAATGGATTGGCCGCCATACTCTGAGGAAACCATCAAGTGACATCACTAGACAAGCCATTGCTCGAGTGGAACCCGAAAGGAAAGCGGCGAGTTGGTCGTCAGTGCAAGGGTGACTTGGAGGAGGTCATATGAAGAGGAGATGAAAGCACGTGGGCAGAGTTGGAGCGGAGTGAAAATGTTGTCAGAAGACCGAACGCAATTGAAACGCGCAGCTGAAGCCCTATGTTCCTCTAGGAATTAAAGGAAATAATAATATAATGATGACTACGTGTTTTGTACTCCAACGTCATTTCAATGGAATCTGCTTCACAAATACACTTCTCGTGAGTAGCCATCATTTATTCACATTATTAACCAGTATCAACCAGGTTCAATCGTATCGACCAAACAGCTTGCCATATTTTCATCACCATATAATCGTAATATTTCTGTCATGTCAGCAGTGCTGTTTATGTTTCTTAAAAATAATTCATAAGCTCTAGGCGTAGAAATGATGCATCTCTGAAGTCATCTAATATATTTCTACTTATATTTAAGATTATCTGAGACAAATGTAGTTTGTCAAAATGATACCAGAGTGTTTAGGTTACCACTGGAGATGATAGGAGGATAAGGATGCAAAGTTCGAACTAACTCAGTTCTTGTTTTTAACTGAAACTAGATTTCAGATTCAGGTCATTGAAGAAGCAGTTCTAAACGCAATATTCTTTGAGGAAAGTCCAAGTTTTTATAATACATATAGTAAAAGATAAAAAATGATGTCCTTCAGTAATCTACAGAATACATGTTATCGCGAGCAAAGTATCTAAAAACATTTACTTATATTGAACATGTTTAACCGTTCAACAATAAATATTCACGTGACACCTATACATAAAAAGGTATTTTAAAGATTATTTAACACATCAAAAGTGAAACTGGGGAAAGTGAAAGTGATAACTAATCATTCTATGATAAACGCAGCTGATTGAAATATGTGGTTGAAAATTAGTTACACCAATCAGTGATCAATGATATGACTTGATAGTTAAAGGACTTTTTTAAAGTAATTTTCGATTGGTCGTATAAGCTGTGTGCTTAAGTTACTTTAGATTGTTGTCAAGCTCTACTCTGACATATAAAGTTTGGGATAATATCCATAGGCATTCAAGTAAAATTGTCCCATATGGTTATTCTGATTTTTGAAATATGTAATTGATACTATTCATCGACAGCATTCACTTAGTTTCTTTCACTAAGCTTAGTAGTGTATTATTTTTCTAAACGGCATTAGTTAAATCTTCAATGAAAACAAAAACTTGGTAACGATCAAAATAAAATGCATCTAGTTATGAAGGCGTATTAATGATGAACTAAGTTGGTAAGGGGAAGCATCGATTTCTACTATATTAAATGGGTCAGGTTCGAAAGCCTTGAATTTTCACCTTCTTTTTGAGTGGAAACAGATTTTCAAGTGTTGGTTTATGGAAATTTGATTGGTTACAGGATTTCATCATGAGCGAACATTGGTTAGAGAATCATTGGAAAGCCAGTCGGGAGTACTGGACAGTTGTTTTGTCCTGGTTTGGAACTCTACACAGCCCGAACCCAATGCCAGGGCTGGAACCAAGGACCTTCCGGTAACAAGGGGATATTGTAGGGCATTAATCCACTGGGACTCAATCCAATGGCCTATGAATTCCAAATTCCGTCACTAACGATTGTCGTCGGCGAATATTTGTCTGCGCACCCAACAGATTTTGCTGATAAATTATGATAAGCGGAAAAATAGTATTCAGGTCTTTCCAATAATTTCCTCCATACATTTATCACAGAACAATGAAGTGCAGAATCTGTCAATCTATCTGCTTTCCTACTTCACACCGTTTTATCATTGAATTCAAATGAATTCTGACAAGAAAAATTATAAAGTATCACCTGATGATCACCTCAGTATGATATAATTATCAGAAACGGTATGTCATAAAATACTTTGTTTATAAATTGCACACAGACAAATACATTAGTTAATGTAGTTACTTTTAGGTAATGCATTTCTGTAGAGGGTGGTTTGTGGTCCCAACAACTTACCAGTTAAACGCCTTACTTTATTAGTAAACATTTCAATTTTTAATCTCTGAATAAAGATGGATCTCTATGCAATTTCTTATGACAGTTGTGTTAATAAATGTTAAGAAGACAAAAACGTACATTGATGCTTGGGAACGAAAACTGAACATGGTATGTGAGATGATTGTTTCACTCAGACAAGAAGCTACATCTCCATTACAACTAGTCTACAAATCTCAGTCAGCAATCAACCCTAAACAGATGAAAAACGTTGTATTCAGTGAGGAGAAAAAAAGACAACATTCATTATTGTGTGCTTACTGCTGAATATATAACTAGATGAATAATAAATTTATTTAATTTAAATTGTTTAAGTGTAAAATTATTATTACAACAAACTGTAGATAACTTTTTGATTTATTTGAAAATATTTTAAAAGTGAAGGCTAACAAGTATACAATATAAACAAAAAGACCAAGCAACAAACTATAATGATTTCCTACTTTTTTTCAAATCATTTCCAGTGTTTAAAAAAATAATATGTAAAATTATAATCGCAGCAATGAATGCGCTATCAAAAATAATAACTTAGTATTTTTAGAACTTTTCAATTCACCGTGGGTATTCCTATTATTTTTCTCTTACTGGATGTCATATCTGGAGAGTAAGTGAGAGAGAGAGGGAGAAATGGAAGGGAAGGGAGTAAAATGGTAATTGTCTCTTTCTCTCTCTCTCTCCCTTTTCTAGTCATTGTCAGCTGATAAACATTTTTGTAAGTCAATGAATGTACCCTCAGTTCCAATTCTGTGTTTAAGTGAAAGTGTAGTACAATAAAATAGTACAGGAAAAAGTGAATTTTTACGAGGAAATATTCATAGGAAAAAACAAAAAACAAATCGCTTGTCAGTTTATTTCGCGTTTCTCTCGTTGTTTTTCTTCTCTTGCTTATTTTACTCTTGTCATAAGAGGAGCACGAAAGGCTACTGGATGAAAGTGCCACGATAATCTAATTCTCTTTTTCCTACTACATATATGGGCAAGTGCTATATTTTAGGCTGATTCATTTTTAGAGAATTTTAGTCAAATACAATTTTTGTTTTGTTTATATATGTGACATGCAGTCGAGAAAAACAAAGTGGAACTGGCAAAATTTCAAATAAAAAACAAGCTGAAAATTATTAAAGGTTGACTTTTAACAGTACGGATGTATACACACATGGAAAAAAAGAAAATAAAAGCAGTAAAACAGAATGTACTTCAATTTACTTCGTATAAATTTAATACTACTTTTACAGATTTGTTGTACACTTTTTATTTCCACAATTGCATTTTAACTAAGATTTAAGGTAATTTATATTTACAGATTGGAAATCGAGAGTTTACGAGACTTTTTCACATCTTCCTATTCTGTTAACCGTTATGACTCTGAGTTGGATTACCTAGAGAATGTTTGTTTCAAAGAAGAGCTTGCTAAAGAATAGATCGAAACTGAGAAGTACTGCACTTCTGGTTCATCTTGGCTCTATAATTTCCATCACTTTCAAAACAAACCAACATCAGCATTGCCATGTTACAAGGTGGGTATTGTCCCATATTTCCTATCTTTATACTGGAAATTGGAGAAAAGATAGAAGATATGGGCTGCTGAATCATGGTCGAAAGGCTGAAGGGTAATTTGCATACCATCAGATTTGGTAATAATAAGCTTTACTTTGTACATAATCGCGTAATATCATTTCTGAAAAGCAATGGACTAAAACTAAACCACTTTGAAATAATTAAGCACTGGTTATATGATATACATTGGGAAATACGAAAATGTTGTTGATAATAATGTGCCGAAACTACTCTTCAGTGATTCTAGATAATTTTAATTTATGGTTGAACTAACTTTAAGATGAAGTCTATCCTTACAAATCCAACAAGTAAGTGTTTACTTAAAGGTTCACCATGAGATATGAAGAGGTCCAGTCTAGATATTATTTCAAAACTTTGAACTTTAATGAAGTACTTATTCGGTGTTGGCATCCTTGTAGTAACTAAATAATCATTTTCTTTATTTTCTCATCGAAAAGCCTACAAGATGATTATTTTAAAATTACTTGGATGACATCACGACCGCTGTTTTACTGTAACTAACATTTAAGGAATTCGATTCCTTAACTCATTTTTTATAGGTGTAACGATTTTGATTAATTTCATTGAGCAACTTACCAGTTTCTTCTGCTCCCAGTTCATTTGATTTAAAACCAATTCTCTCTGTTTGTAAATCGTCATTAATTGAACCGTCACTACGAATTGAACCATTTATTGATGAGCTTTTAGTATGCCTAATTCTTGATGTTGGTCTAGACGGTAGACATGGTGCACGATGTCCTAAATGTTGTGAGTTATGCAGTAACGAAGGATGTAAGTTGTTTGTATGCGGATTTTGTGAATGGTGAATGTTGTAATGATGTTGTAATGATGATGGGGATGACGATGATGTCACGGAAAGTGTAGAGGTTTGTGAATTCAATGGATAATGAGAGTTTGTATGCTGCACTGTATGTGGATTATGGTGTTGTTGTTGATTTGACTCATGATGTAGACGATTTATATGACTTGAATCTTTTGCTTGAGAATGCGACATATCTCCTGCATCTATATACGGATCATTAAAATCTGGAGATCGTGTTATAGAATTCATTGTTACCGATGAACATGTAGGCATTGACTGAGGTGAATGTACTGAATTTTTGTAATTGCAACTGTCTTTACGCATTATGTCAGATAATTGTTCATTCAGTGATGTATGGTAACCATGACGCTGTTGGTGATGTTGAAGTTGATGTGACTGGTGAGAGGAGGAATGATGTTGACTTTGTTGATGATGGTGATAATGGTATGGTGATGAACTAGATGAATTCATTTTTGTCAACGGCAGTGAACAACCCCCAGCAGGATCATTTGAATTAATATTATTTGAATTTAGAAAAAAGTTTGAATAAAATCCATAAGAACTAGGGTATTCATAGTCTCGATTTGTTTGAATACAGTTGTTGTTAGTGCTGCTGCTAATATTATGAAGGGATTCTGAATAGTTTGAGCGATCATTCATATTTGGTAGGACAGTATTCAACGGAATATTATCGCGTATATACTGTGAAAAATATTGATTATAATAAGAATTACCATATAGTGATTGCGGAAAATTATCAGCTGCATTGGTATGCAAATGTACAGGCTTATCACAGTCTTCAGTAGTTGCAATTTCAGTACTGTCAATATCATCTTCGTTTACCGTACTATTTACAGGTGTAGTGCTGTTAATAGTATCGGTTACAGTCGATGCTAACATACTTGCTGATACTGATTCACCATTTCCACTATGAGAATTCATATTATAAAAATGAGACTGATTCATATAAAACTGAGAAGTATTCGAGTGTGAATTAACTTGTGAATCAGGACACGAGTCAGATGAAATACTTTCCACTGAATTTTTTACAGTAGGAACTCCAACTGCAGCAGCCGCTGCTGCTGCCACAGCTGCAACTGCGACCGCCGTGACTGCAGATACTCCACTGTTTGTCGTCTGGTTACAATTCCCTGATGACTGCGAAAAATACAGAAGGAAAGATAACAGACATCCAATTTAAAAATTTATGAAGTTTTAGAATAAAGATAGAAATATACTATGTAAAGCAATATAGCAGTGTAAAGGGGGAAATGTGGGATATCTTACATAAAACCTAGACACGTACTTCAGTTAACTATGTCTCATTTATCTATCTTTACCTGTTGTTTTTTTAGGATTACTTTGTAACCGGTCTTCAGGGCTTTTTGAATTCATAACTATTTTCCTAGGTTTCATCATCCAGAAATTATCGTCACTTAATTATAAGTTGTTTTACGATACTTAAATTGCTTTCTCAATTACTTATTGTTTGTTAAATTCAGTTATTTGTAACAGTAGGAGTTGGGCATTTACATCAGAATGAGAATCTGGATAAAACTTTCGCACTACATTTTGATACTGATTCAGATTTCAGAATGAAGTTGCGTTTGTTCAGTAGTCATATTACGGTGAAATAGTATGATACAAGTAAGTTGAAAAAGGAGTTTGTACTTCTAGTCTGACTACATTATTAAATCTCAAAAAGTTAATATTTGTTGCTTGTTTCAATTCACTACCTCAAGTGGTAAGTTTTTTTATGAAATGTCATAAAACTGTATAATTGCACTGAATAAAATAAGTATTCGCAGCCAAAAATGAAACTTAACTTTTTTAAATCCTTTACGTTCCCAGTGGGACATATGGCTTCAAGATAGAGTCGTGAAGTTTCAATAGCGGTGGTTTTTATTTTTACGGGATAAGGGTGCTAGCCTCATACCCAACCTTCCCTTTTCAGCAGTCTTATTACTAGCTCAACGAGCTAAAGGAGTGCGTCGGCCAGGGAAACTTAACTTGCTCTCTAAAAATGTCTTTCACTCAGTCCAGTTAGTATATTACCAGTTATAAACATGCAATGTCTTGTATGATATATTAGCGCAATGCTTACTTATTAGTCAAAAATTGGTACGTAATGTGTTAAACTTTAGGTCTTAGGTCTAATACCATGACAGTCCATATTACTAATTAACATGAGTAGTTAGAAACTGCTCACATCAACCAGTTCAGAATGATCTAGACATTGAAGAGCCATTTCCCTGGTTATGGTCCGAGCTTACCAGCGGCGTCTCAGTTATGGACGCAGCTCAAACAGCTGAGTCAGTTGAAACCACTCAAATCCTGGATAGCTGACTAGGTAGACTATGAATTCCATTCTAAACCCTGAGTAGAATAATAGTTAAGAAAGCCAGGTAGATAAATAGCTACATATTGTTGGATAAATAAAAATGCAGCATGAAATGAAAGTTGCCATCAATTATTCTCAAGATTTAACAGTATTTTGAGGAATACTTCACTTCCGTGTCAGTTTTATTTCTTTAAGTACATAGTAACGTTTAACTTATCTATTTATCTATCATACAAATTAACTGTCATCGTCTTAAGTTTTAACTCTTTTTATTTCATTATGAAGTAATTATCTGGAAATATCAGGTATCATGAAACTCCTGGTGTTCAGAAGTTTTTGATGCAAAGAAAAATACAAATGTGTCTGACTTTTTGATAGTTCATTCCAGTGCAGTTAGCTCAATAATTAAATCTCTGAAGTACAGCCAGTGAGGACTAGAACTATGCCTGTGAGAATTTCTTATGAATGTAACCCATTCTTTAGTTGTTGGTAACACGGAGTAAAGCGTGAATATATATATTTTTTAACAAATTAGTAATAGAGTAATAAAATAAGTTGTATTTGTGTGACAAACTTGTTGGACTGTGAATGCAGTTACAAAATATTACGAAATGCTAAACGACGCTGGGGATTAGTCATAATAGATGTTTGCAATGTAGTGAGAGAAAACTGACAAATCACTTCATAGCTGTAAAATATGTTAGGTAAGTGGCTAGTACAAAATAGTAAGAAGAGATAGTAAGACTGCAGTGAATAGTTCATCATGAAATAATCAATACGTGAAATGAAACAGGTGGCGTCATATATGGAGAAAAGAGATAATATTATTAATATTAAGCCAGAAGTATGTAAATGGAAAATTCGATAGTACTGAAAGAATGTCAGAATAAAGTGTATAAATCATAAAATAATATGGCTGAAACTGTTGAGACAAAGAGAAGAAAGTTAACAAAAATAAAACAAAAGAATAAGAGATAAGAGACAAATGGATTCTCACAGAAAGATACCTTAATCCAAGTTTGGTTACGCCAGGAGTAGCGCCTGAATGTGTTGTTTTTGAATACAAAATCCCGGTTTAGTCGATCTTATTGCAGCAACTTCAGCTATATGTTGAAGACGTAGGTGAACTATAAGTCGTAATGACTTCGGAATGTGATGTGTAACCCTGAATGCTACGTTAGCGTTAATGATCCAAACGTAGGAAAAAGAAATTAGTATTTACCTTTTTTTCATTTCCACTCAACCTGTAATTATCTATATTGTGGGGCAGTTTTACTTTTTAAAACGTTGACTGGCCATTTGGTGTGTTGATTAAATGTTAGTAACGTGTCATTCACTAACACAACAGCTGATAATTACCAGCGGTAGTGCCTGTTAAATGATAATTTGGTTATCACACGTGTCTCGTAACTCAGTTGGTAAAGCGCGGGCTTGGTAATTCAGAGACTGCTGGTTCAACTACTACTGAGACTCAGATTTTAATTTCATCTTCATTCACCACTCATTACATTAATTGCACTCTGTCAACCCAAGGCTACCTTGGATAGTTGCACTACCAAAAACAATATTTTAATCTCTTCCATTCAGCACTTCAGTATGTCAGCTCTTCAAGTGATTAATATTATCTTGAACAAAGACTCTTTGACTTCAGTAGTACTTATAATTTATAGTAACAGTATATGAAGTGAACACTACTGGAACTTTATTTCAGCTCACTTAGGCACTGAATTACTAGTTGACTAAAAGATTTAGAAGTCTCAGGTTCGATCATGGTATATTTTGTGTTCGTCAGAGATAATGAAATGAACAACTGATAAATGCTACTTAATTCACATTATGGGTTTGGCAGATATCGATTTGGATTGAAGTCTGACTTCGGGAAAAAAACAACGTTTATTCAGTAATATCTTGATATACATCTGTTCACATTTTCTCATCCCTTTTTAAAAGTAAAGATATTTATTTACATATTCTTCATCCATCACATTTTCTACAAATTAACAAACACACTGCCACACATTTGTAGAAAAAGACATCACACCAGGATATTTCAAACTTGCCATATTGTTGAATTAGTATAATGTTATAAAAAAAGAAGAAAATTGAGCATTGACTGTTCATTCCTACACACTGTTAAGCGTGACACGGTTTTTATTACCAGGTGTTTTTCCCTTATCGAAATAGACAATTTTGCGTTGCTGCTATCGGATTACTGTGAATTCATTCTCAAGCTTCTTTTAGTGATCTTTCCTATTCATTTCTAAAATGCTTACTATGATATATATATACTCCTTTTCTCTGTAAACATCCGTCTAGCCTACGTTTTCTCGTGATAATTTGCTTGATCATTCTTAGTCTTGCGTATAAAAAGTGAGCAATAATAGATTATGCTTTTCACCTAATTCCTTTTCTCATTGTCCCTTTTTGTCTTGTTTTATTTTTATCACGTAGTATGAAGTGACAAAAAAACAACAACTGAGAATTCCCGCGATACGTCAACTGCACCTGATAAACTCGTTTATAATTCCCCATTAACTTATGATGCTGCTTAAATTATGCATATTCGTGTACAATAGTAGCTCAATAAATAATCCTAAGTTGGTAGGAGAGAAAGAAAAAGAAGTGAGAAGTAAATAATCAAGTTATCGAAGCGTATGGTAGGCATACATTTGAATACATATATATATAAGTTTGTAAGCGTGTATGTATAATTTGGTTAACATGTCCATTTATCATCCTACAACAAAGAGGTTAGGATTGAACAAAATCTTAATTTGAAATCTTGTCATATAAACGTCGAGTTATTTTATTTTAGTAGTGTAATTTTTAGCAAATATTTCTAATTGTTCAGGTGTAGCCTATTGACCGATTTTCTTCCATGGGTAGGTTTTTCCGTTATTGTCTCTCTACTGAGGTGTACTGACGAATAAATCAAGTTCCCTCTTTGCTTCATTTAATTTTGTTTTTCCTGTTGATTGGTTGAATCGAAATGTGTCGGCTTGTGTTGACACGTCAGCTCCTATTACGGACACTTAGACAGTGTATGAGGATTAAGGTGATGTCATTTGGTGTATAATGCCTGGCAGTGGAATCCAAGATGCGCGTCTGACCCTAACCAGGACTCGTCACTGGATGTCAACAGGAAAAACAAAACTGACTCAAATAAATAGTAACTGACACCTGTTACACAAGAGGTGGCTCTCGTGGATGACTCTTTGGGGTTTAAAAAGATGGGTGCTGCGATCGAGGCTCAGTGGAAACACCATTACTAACTTGAGATCGCAGGTGCATACAAAATAGGCCTAAATGTTCATCCTGGATCCCAATGCTAGTCACCATCCTCCAAATAACATGGTCTCATCTTTATAATACTTTATTTGGTTCTCAACAACTGATATAGAATTTATGCATGTAATAGAAATATCACTTTAAGCATGACTGAGCTTACATTGATTGAAAGTGGGAATATACTAAAAGTTGACAACTGAATGATTAAAAATTAAAACCATTAAAAAATATGTGATTGTTACTTTGTGAGTACTTTGACTTACAAACTTAATCACCAGGACACCAGGTCTGTGATCCATTAACAGCTGGTTCGAATTCTACTGCAACTCAAGCTTAGTCTTCGATTAAATTTTAACTCTTTTAACTTAACAATAATCTTAGAAACTAAAGATATATCAGAAAGCTTTGATATATATGATTATGCATATATATATATATATATATATATATATATATATATATATATATATATCAGTGAATATTAGTGAAATGACCCGTAACTAAGTTTCATCCTGCCAGGTACCGATTA